CAGGGCGAGAGCTCTGACTGAGAGCTTTCGCGGCCTGTCGAGAGACCGTGGATCTGAACATCGTATATGTGAGAGATATGTGGATAGAAGATTGTACTTGGCGGGATGTTGTCTCCAGGAGAAAGGGATGGGAAAGGGAGGAAAGACAGAGAGCAAACAAAGGTAAAAAAGCTTGAGAGAACGAGAGGGAAGTCCGAATAAGTACTCTCGCTGAGGAAAAATGTTAATGATAAGTCCCACAAGAAAGACTGGAAGTAGAAGTGGTGATCTCCCTTGAGTCACTCGGCGAGCTGGTGAATAAATGCGAGTCCGTGGGTCCAGAAGTTGGCAAAGAAGGAAACAGAATGGAGGAGATGGGGAATGTAAGTGTAGCCAGGGAGTGATAGTAAGTACGCAGTTAGTTGTGTGTATTAGGTACAACTATCAATTAAAGGTATCTAGGTACTCCTGCTGTGATATATACAAAAGCTGAAGCAATTGCGGTGAAATAAGTACCTTGAATGGAGCACCACAACAGGATATCCGATGGAATAGACAAGTCAGACAGAAGGAATTGCAGGCGTGACCCGGATGACTGGCGTATGATCCAGGATAAAACTTCCCATTCGTAGGTTTCTTTTTCTGGATCAGCTTTTTTTCTATAAAGTTCTTCCTTTTGTTTATATGTATTTCTGCGCGATGTCAGGTGGTGATGAAAAAGAACTGGGCTAGAACCCAAGCAGCGATCTGGACCAAGATCTGCCATGCTGTGGGGTTTTCTGCCAGATTTCCAAGCCTCTGGCCCAGTAGGCATCCCGGCTTCCGTCGCCGCGCAATGCCCTTTTTACTTTCCGCGTGACTCCAACATGGCCCCTCGATCCTCGCGAAGTTTCACCCGGCTTGTAGAAGATTCTTTCCATCATCCATCTTCCTGTATTTATTGTTACTTTTGTTTATTACTTTTTCTGTGTTCTCACAAGTATTAGCATTTCTATGGAGTGTCTCTGTAGACGTGTCCTCTATCTACCCCTTCCCCTCGTATGGTGTGAAGGAGAACAAGTCATCCAAGGAAGTAGGAAAGATATCGTACGGAGGAAGTTCCTTTAATTGCCACTGAATCTAGAATAGTAAACATTGAACTGTAGGAGTTGTGCTAATCTTAACAAAAAGTCAACTCAACAATACTGTTAAGTCTGTTGCCTGAGTGGTGGAAAAAGATTGATCATGCACACCACTGAGTTAACCAAACAGAAACTTTTCATTCGATACTTATCATAACCTCTTCTTATCAAGGAAAAGGCAGAACATACTTCAAGTACTTCAATTGTGAATACTACTGTTCACCTTGGCAGAATCCTGTCTAATTTGTGGCATCATTCGGATTAAGGACTTTGGGGAAGTGGAGTACATAGTGTACAAGTGGATCCGCTACTCCAAATGGTTCTTCCTCTCCAGCTAAACTCGGTTAATAATGACCACATCCCAAACTTCCCCGCACGTCCCATGTTGAGTGGAGCCTCATGCTCTCTTTGATGGGATTGTCTTTCTTCCACGTCCTCCTCTACATATTATTGGTGACTTTGTGATGCTTCTCAGTTGTACCATTCGCTACCTTATTATTGACAGCCATCAGGGCGGACAATTTAAACGATACCTGTCGAAGTAGGGTGTTTATTAATCCACTTTGCTGCCGACTCATGATCAAGGCTACAACATATACAGCTCCTGTATTTGAATCAAATGCAAACGTCTATGCCCAAAAGGAAATCTGGCAAACGTATCGACGTACGCAGTACAATGTCTGTTCCCAGGGAGTGATCCGAGTTTCATCCAAATTCCAATGCAAAGTTGGTGCATCAACTGGAAGTGCCGTCACCTTCCTCTGCGAATTCGACGAGAGGAGTACCGCTCTTGCATTGATCCTGTAAAGACACGTTAGTCATCTACCACTCCTGAAAACGAGAGATCAGAAACGCGCAGTTCTGGAAGGACTAGGGAAAGTGTTCTCGAAGCTTGACATGAGCGTCCTTGCTCCGGTCAGCTCTCCAAGACGGAATTTCCAAACTCCAACGATCCTGGTCCGACTTGGCGCCAAACCAACGGGCCGAGATCCAGGCCATTAATTGAAAGTGTAACGCCATCGGTCAAGTGACCGATCAATAAACGGGAACGATGTGCAGGGATAAAAACAAAAACGCAACAAAAGAGACGTGTGACCTACCCCTTTTTGATGTACCACTTTGGAGATGGTTCCCTTCTGAGGGCTGCGAATTACTGTTTCCATCTTCATACTCTCAATTACAACCAGCGGCTGGTCTTTTTCCACCACATCGCCTGCCTTGACCTCCACGCGCAGCACCTTGCAGGGCATTGGGGCCAAGACACTGTTGGTGACATCCTTCATGCCCAATGCCTTTTCCATCCATTTGGCCCGGGGGATCGTTAGGCGGTATTGATTACCTCGCTGGAACGCGACGACGGAATCCCCGTCTTGTATCACAGTCGTGTCAAGTCGAGTGTGGGGAAAGAAGGATGTGACGACTTTGGATGCGGGATCGCTGTGGCTCGTCACTTGCTCGAAAACACGACTGCCAACCTCGATATCAAACACATTGTTGCCAGTCTGCTTGACACGAACATTGAATTTTGTGCCGTCTTTCCGGCCCGGAGTCAGTTCTGCCAGTGTCATCTCTCGTACCTGATAGCTCGGGCTGAATCCAACAGCGGACCCTTCGAAGTTTGCCTGCTTTCCGATCGCTGATTCGGAGTTGTGGTGTAGACAAGCCAGCGCCACTTGTGCAAGAACCTCATCCTCAATCGGGTCCTTAACGAACAACTCATCACGGTGCTTTTCAATGTAACCCGTCTCCACCTCGCCCTTGATGAAATCTGGGCTTCTGCAAACGGATTTGATGAACTCGATGTTGGTGATAGGGCCTGCGACCTCATATTCTTCCAAGGCGGCTGCTAGTTTGCGGATTGCCTCTTCCCGGGTGGCACCGCGAACGATTAGTTTTGCGATCATTGGGTCGTAGTGAGCTGAGACTTCATCTCCCGCGACGAAACCTGCATCTATTCTTACGTCTTCTGACGTCGCAGGAGTGCGGACGTGCAGCAGACTACCAGAGTCAGGGATAAAACCTTGGTCCGGATTTTCTGCATATATTCTAGCCTCGATGGCGTGTCCGCGGTGAGCCATTTCAGCTTCAACTTGGTCCTGAGTCAATGGCAGAGGGGCTCCCTCCGCGATCTTGATCTGCCAGTGAACGAGGTCCTGGCCGGTGACCATCTCTGTCACGGGATGCTCAACTTGCAGCCGAGTATTCATCTCCATAAAGAAGAATTCGCCGGTGTCATTGTCGAAAATGAACTCGACGGTACCGGCGCCCTCGTAGCCTACGGCCAGCGCGGCAGCTCTCGCCTTCGCCCAGATATCTTTTCTGGTAGCGTCTGGTAGATGGGGTGCTGGAGACTCCTCAAGGATCTTCTGATGCCGTCTTTGTATGCTGCAATCTCTCTCTCCCAGAGCGACACAATTCCCGTGCTTGTCGGCAAAGACCTGAACTTCGATGTGACGTGGTGTAGTAATGTACTTCTCGACCAAGACGTGGTCATCTCCGAATGAGTTCATGGCTTCTGATTTCGCAGATTGCAATTGAGCCTGGAATTCAGCTTTGGACCTGGCGATACGCATCCCTTTCCCGCCGCCACCTTTGACTGCTTTAATAAGCACCGGGTATCTAATCTTATCGGCCTCGGCTTCGAGGAAGTTCACGTCTTGATTTGAGCCGTGATAACCAGGAACGCACGGGACCCCTGCAGCTGTCATGATCTTCTTTGACTGGCTTCAAGATATTAGCGAGAGCTAAAAGATGGACCTTCCCGATCGGCATACCTCTTGTCTCCCATGTCCTCGATTGCTTTCCATGGCGGACCGATGAAGACTAGACCAGCTTCTGTGCATTTCCGCGCAAATTCTGAGTTTTCACTCAACTATAAATAACAATGATAAGTGTACAGCGATCGTTTATACGTTGGCGGACACTTACAAAACCGTAACCGGGATGTATCGCTTGGCAGCCTTCTCTCTTAGCAATCTCGATGATGCGGTCACCATCGAGATATGCAGAAACTGAGCCGAGATTAAATGCAAACGGTGAGCTCAACGCGTGCTGAGCATGTCTGTCGGGATCCGTGTATAGTGTTGTCACTTTGATGCCGTATTGAGAAGCCGTGCGACCTACCCGCCTATAATCTGGTCAGTGGAGGTTAATACATCATTAAACCATCGTAATCATACAATGCTATCTCTCCTCTATTGGCAATAAGGACCGAGTCCAGTTTCCTCTGTGGCACATGAGTACTGGCGGCAGTGGACGCTGCTCTTCGTGACCGTCGAGCTGCTGTCGGGCCCATGCGGGAAGAAATGCGGAGAAGAGACGAGAGAGCCATAGCGAGGAATTGCTGCTGCTAAACAGCCCTATGTTGAATTTCTGTGCAAATTCTTCGAGACTCTCAGCATAGTTGAGATACGAGCGAAAGTAGCTTTGAGGAGCTCGCCGGAGTCTTAAGAAAACTAAGGCCCTGGCTCAGGTTCTTCCGAAGCATGACAGTATCATCAACCCCCTTGAGCCGACGCAAAGCGAAACTGCGGGGAAAGGGATGCACGTGACCCCTACTCCACTCTGCAATCCATCTCGGCAAGTTCTGCTGGGCGGAAGTCGAAGGGAGACAGCGATCAGCCCGAAGACACGACGTCACCGTCGATTTTTTTTTCTATCATTTGCGGTCGTTTCTGTTATACTTGAGATCAATTGAGTTATACAGCTTGTTTGTGCTTGCTTATTGCAAAGAGCCTCTTTTCCTTTGGCTCTCGCGAGGCCTATTTGTCGCCGCGAAAAATTTCTGCGCTCCTTAGGTCCTTCCGATCCCTGGCGGCCTAGTTACACGTTCTCGAAACGAAGCAGTGCAATTTTATCGCTCCGTAATCCGACTTCGCCAACATTGTCTCGCCTTTCGAAATGTCAGATGACGAATGTCTGGACGAATACGACGATGAAGATGTTTTCTGGATTGAGGAACCAGATCCAACCATTGCTGTTAGTCTTTGCGCTCGCTGCAATCTCTGCTTGATTAGCGGTTGTGTCTTCGATCATACTGACGGGTCAATTAACGTTATAGGACGATTTAGCTGAAGCCGCTACACACGACGCGTTGTACTTTGATGATCCCTCCCTTGAGGCAGAGGACTTTTACAGTGATTGGGATGAATTGTCCGATGATTATTATGATGACGACCCAACCGTTGAAAAGAGGCGACGCATGATGGATATAGCGAAGAACAACGGATATTCTGGAGAATTGCTTGAGGATATTCAACGACAGGGATTGCTGGAACAGAAGACATTGGTGCACCGTCTACATCGCGGCGGAGTTGTCGCAGAATCACCAGCATTCAAGACAGACCAGGCATCTTTTCAAGCAGTGGTATGGAAGAGCTCCGATGACAAGAAAACCCCGGTCACCTTGTATGAGCCGGGTGATGGGGAGAAGGTTGCACTGCTAAAGAACTGGCGGGAGGTGTTTCGAAATTCTCATCCTGCCCTTCGTCTGCGCAAGCTCGGTCATCTCAAGGCGAACAAGGAACATACTCGCTCTCGATTAATCGGCACCATATTACAAAAAGAAAGTCAAAAGGAAGACAGTTCAGACTGCACCTCTGGTGCCTCGCTGGATAACCTTCGCGAAACTGACGCTGCCTCCGACAATAGCCTGGCATCGACTCCTCCGGAGTCTGTGTCATCGATTCCCCTACACAGAATCAGAGCGATGGAATCATTCACTAGTGTGCCCGTCGTTCCCGAATTGAACGACTTTACGAGCTCTCTTGAAGACCGGGAAATGGACGATATCACCACGAAACAAGGCGAAGCCAAACCGACCGATGTTGCGGGCAACGGTTCATCGATTTCTTCCGGGAAGCATCGAAAACGTAAGGCTTCGGATCTTGCCGAGGAGCATCAGCATAACAGCACCGAAACTTCCAAGAGGTTAAGGTCAGAAAGCAATGTATTGAACCCAGCTGGCAAAAAAGGAACCGCCGCGACTCCATCACCGGGCCCGGGCAGAAAATCAACCAGGCAGAAGACGAATCAGAAATGAGCCGGTACATAAACCGACAAGGCCTAAATTGGGCTATACGTATATTCTAGATAATGCAAGAATTAGATGCCAAAAGATACCGGAATTCTTCTATACATTCACCTTTCATACAGTCTATGCATATTCCTTGTTAAAAGCGCGCCCGATAACCATCCGTCTGATCTCACTAGTACCGGCCCCAATCTCATAGAGCTTAGCATCCCGGAGCAGCCGCCCAGCAGGGATCTCGTTGATGTACCCATTACCACCCATAAGCTGAATAGCATCCAGAGCACACTCGGTGGCTCTCTCGGCAGAGTACAGGATGGCGCCGGCGCAGTCCTGCGTTCGGATTGAAACCTCGCCGGTAGCTGCGGAGTTATCGATATGTCGTGCCGTAGCATAGGTATAAGAGCGCGATGCTGAAAGCTTGGTATACATATCTGCCAGCTTTCCTTGAATAAGCTGGTTGTGGGCAATGGGGGTTCCGAATTGTTTGCGAGTATGGGTATATGGGAGCACGAGGTCGAGGGCTGCTTGCATGATTCTATTGAATTCCAATTAGCACCGTCATTTTCAGAACATGAAATATTTCACTGCGAGGGAAGCCTACCCGAGTGGACCAGCGCTGAGGACAAGCCGCTCGAGGTCAAGACCTTCCATTAGGACTCGGACGCCCTTGTTCAACTCCCCGAGGAGATTCTCCTTGGGGACGAAGACATCTTCGAAAACAAGCTCTCCGGTGTTTGATCCACGCATACCCAACTTGTCGAGCTTGCGCGCGCAGGAGAAGCCCTTGAATGTCTTTTCCACGACAAATGCGGAGATGCCCTTGGAGCCCTTTTCCGGCTCTGTTTTGGCATACACGACAATGTAGTCTGCGTCGGGGCCCTAGGTCGTAGTCAGGGCCAGTGTTAGTGCTCTCAAGAGCTGTTGTAGGGTTGATTACTACTCACGTTCGTTATCCACATCTTGGTCCCGTTCAGCACCCAGCCACCGTCGACTGCTTTAGCAGTCGTCTTCATACTGACCACATCAGAGCCTGCGGAGTGCTCTGACATGGCCAATGCTCCGACCTTCTCGCCGGACAGAAGACCAGGGAGGAACCGAGCCTTCTGGTCTTCAGTACCGTTCAAGGACAGTTGGTTTACGCAGAGCTGCGAATGTGCTGCGTAGGACAAAGCGATACTCCCTGCAGATCAGAGGAGTCAACGTCAAGTTCGAAAGCAAGTCTTGAAGAGCCGCAGAAAGGGCAAATACCTGAAGCTCTGCTGAGTTCTTCCATCACGATACAGTGCGCTTGATACCCCATTCCCAGTCCACCATACTCCTCATTGGCAGTGACACCAAGAAACCTAGTGAAACACAATTAGCTCTTGTATGGTACGAAGATGCCTTGAAGCACTAACCCAGCGTCTCCAAGCTTCTTCCACATCTCTGCCGGGAACTCATTCTGTGAATCTGTCCGAGCGGCGACCTCCTCGGGTATTTCGCGCCCTTGAATACGCATAAGTATCAGAGAAGGGCAGATATAACCTGGAAAATCGGATGAAGAAAGGCTCATCACATACTCGTGAACTCTTGTACTCGCTCTCTCAACTCCAGCAGCTCGTCCTCGGTGGGCGGTACGAATCCCTTGGGATGTTTGGTTGCCAGCGACCTTGATGCGGGGATGTAGATGAGCGGCGTCCTCATCCTGCAAAGGGTCCTGGACGAAGTCCGAAATAGGGACGCCACGGAAGCCATTGTGAATGAGAATAAACACTCTTCCAGGGGAGATTTAAGAATTCTCAGGCAACGAAAGAAGGGTGATGAATATTTAGCAAAATCAAAGCCGAGGATGGTTGCATTTTACATAGCGATGCGAGGCGGAGAGAAGAGCGGGCCTGAGGCCAGCAGCGGGTAAACGCGGCAATCGTCGCTATTTCTTCTCCGCAGCCAATAAAGCTGGAGTCTGGGGCTCATCGTCATGCCCTTCTTTTTCTTCCCCATCATCAACCCGCAGTCTTTCCCTTCTCAAAATCACTTCCCACCTTCTTGAGGACACTGTCCTGTCTTCTGAGACCACTCTTTAGATTTCAATCAAGGCCATGCCATAGATACCCCCGGACATCGGCTGAACATCAACATTTCCTTTGCTCCACGTTTATCCCCGCAATGCGTGCCCCATCTCCGCTCCTCCGGGGCTTGTGCTCCAGAGCAACCGCCCTTTCGTATCCTCGACGACTCCCGGCACAAAGACACCTAGTTTTAACATACTCTCGCATCTCATCACGATCTGTGGCCAGCTATACACATCCGCATCATGCCAGCGCCATCTCCGTGCTCCCCACTGCGGTGGACACCACCTCCGATGAATTCCAGGAGAACGCACAACAGATGAGAGAATTGGTGGGCCGAATGGCCAGTCTACACAAGACCATTGCACAGGGAGGACCGCAAAAAGCTAAGGAGAAGCACGTCGCTCGAGGAAAGATGCTCCCGCGCGATCGTGTCACTGCGCTCATTGATCCTGGGACGTCCTTTCTGGAGCTTTCACCCCTAGCTGGCCATGACGTCTATCCTGGGGAGGACGTACCCGCTGGAGGCATTATTACAGGGATTGGCCAAGTGGAGGGCGTCACCTGTATGATTGTGGCTAATGACAGCACTGTCAAGGGAGGAACATACTACCCCATTACCGTGAAGAAGCACCTCCGCGCGCAAGCAATTGCCCAGGAGAACAAGCTTCCATGTCTCTACCTTGTCGATTCGGGCGGTGCCAATCTCCCGCACCAGGCAGATGTCTTCCCCGACAAGGAGCATTTCGGACGGATCTTCTTCAACCAGGCCAGAATGAGCTCTCTTGGGATCCCTCAGATCTCCGTGGTCATGGGGCCCTGCACAGCTGGAGGTGCCTATGTCCCTGCCATGAGCGATGAGACTATCATTGTCGAGAACCAGGGAACAATCTTCCTGGCTGGTCCTCCTCTGGTCAAGGCAGCGACGGGTGAAGTCGTCTCCGCGGAAGATCTGGGTGGTGGCCAGCTACACAGCACCATCTCCGGTGTCACGGATTACTTGGCCGTGGACGATGCCCACGCCATTATCCTCGCCCGGAGATCTGTCGCCAATCTCAACTACCCTAAAACAAGCGTACCTCAGGTCTCCGCAGATACCATCAAGGAGCCGCTGTATGACCCGGCCGAGCTCGACGGCATCGTCGGAACCAATCTCCGCCGGCAGATACCAGCCCACGAAGTCATTGCCCGTATCGTCGATGGCAGCGAGTTTGCGGAGTTCAAGCGTGACTACGGAACCACCCTTGTGACTGGATTTGCTCGTATCTACGGCCACCAGGTCGGTATCGTCGCGAACAACGGCATTCTATTTTCCGAGTCTTCTCTGAAAGGAGCGCACTTCATTGAATTGTGCGCTCAGCGCAAGATTCCCTTGCTATTCCTTCAGAACATCTCCGGCTTCATGGTCGGAGCAGATGCAGAGAAGGGCGGGATCGCCAAAAACGGTGCCAAACTGGTGACTGCAGTGGCTTGCGCGGACGTCCCCAAGTTTACAGTTGTGTTTGGATCCAGCGCCGGAGCAGGAAATTATGGGATGTGGTAAGTACCCTCGTTATGCTGTAATTACCTCGAGAGAGACAGTGCACTAGGCTAACTCTGCTGCGTCTCTTATAGCGGCCGCGCCTACTCCCCACGACTAATGTTCATGTGGCCCAACGCGAAGATAGGTGTTATGGGGTCCGAACAGCTATCTGCTGTCATGGAGGCAGTCGGTAGAACCGCCGATCCGGAACTGAAAGCACGGATCGACCGTGAGTCGGAAGCAATCTTTTCTTCCGCTCGTCTCTGGGACGATGGCGTCATCCCGCCAGCACAGACGAGACATGTTTTGGGCCTGAGTCTTGCGGCTGCTCTTGGTGGCAGAGTAGATAAGGATGTGCAGACTCGTTTTGGCGTCTTCAGGATGTAAACCTATAGCGTAATTCAGCAGACATTACTCATGTAATTCGCGTTGTGTACACCGTAGACACAACGGGTGCCAATTCTCGCTCAACTTGCATAACAACACCTTGGACCTCTACTCCAGTAAGTAACGGACAGGAGGCGAACTGAGACGGAGAGGTCAAGACGGCAAATTCCTCGATTCTTCTAGAAAATAGGTGGTATACAAGAATAGTAGGAACGTGATACCAAGCTGATGCAATGAAGTCAACCCGATTCTCCTGGAATCGGTGAGCCTCTCAGAAGACCAGGGTAGACAAGAACATGAGGAACGTTGATACCAATTGCAAGAACACGGAAGGGACAGTCGAAAAAGGGATAAAAGAAAATCATCAGGAGATCACTCGACAACTTTTCCAACCTTTGAAAGTCAGGTGGCAACCTGTAATATTGAAAATAACACGTTATAATTGAACATCGTTCTACCGTTGGGAAGGGCACGTAAATGGCGTATAGTGTAGCATGATATGGGGCACATCGTCAGGTAATTGTAAGCAATTGATGGGGTATGTGTGAGTGTGAAGGATGTCGCTCGAAGCTCAAGATGTATGAGCAGTGATACACAGAACCGATGGACAGGAATGAACAGGAAATCCGACGTTTTGGGGGCTTCCTGCTGCAGTCGTGGCGCGGGTGCTGTTGTCGATTTGGGTTTATAAGATGACACAGGGGCCCTTTCGTCGTTTCTTTTCTTTCTTCTTATCGTAGCGGCCGGCGCCTTCACGCTTTCTCGCTGAATTGTCGGAACCGCTGGACGAGTTTCCTTGCATATCTTTTCTGATTATTTGCCGGCAAAGATCAATAAAGACCTCGTTGACATTCGCTCTCCTACGCGCCGAAGTTTCATAGTAGGGAGCATTACCCCAGCTCTGGGAAAGTGCGAATGCTCGAGCTCGCGGAACAGCGCGGTCTTCCTCTAGATCGGATTTGTTGCCCACAATGACAATGGGGACTTTCTCATCATCCTTTATCCGGATAATCTGCTCTCTCAGTTCGGACAACTCGTTCAAGGATGACATGCTGGTGATGGAGAATACGAGCAGAAAGCCTTGACCCTGCTTCATGTAAAGTTCCCTGGAGAGTGAGAGAAAGATGGTTAGCACCATGTGGCGAGCTGAAGGTGGCGTCTATACGATTAACATGCTTGGCTGAAAAAGCACAGAAACCATCGGAAAAGGAGTGCATAAGATAAATTACCTCATAGCGGCTACAGAATCACGTTAGCCAAAAAGTCATAATATCCAAGAGCGGGTGGACTTACTGAACTGCTCGGTCCCTGCCGTATCGAGTCTTTCGAACAATTCAAGCGTCAGTACTCTCAAGCTAACATCGGTGGCAATTCTCCCAGACAACAAGGTCCTGCGAAAACATACATTTCCAGGATACATTGGCGGCCCTGGAAAAGTCAGCATTAAAATTCCAGCGCAAACGTCGAAAGCGACTCACATCGACCTCAATCTGCTTTCGATAGGAGTCTTCAATCGTGGGGTCATAGCTTTCGATCCACACATTCTGAACGAATTGAGCTGTGAAAGTCAGACCGTGTACCTCATTGATGGAGATGCTTGAATCAACGACGCAGTTCTCACTGCGAGCAAAGAGGAGGAACAAGGGTGAAATGAGAAAAGTAGAGTACGTACCAGTAAGACAGCTTTTCCCCACACCTCCTACAGCGCGGACAACCGACAAACAGTTAGCCGAAAAAGGCCTTTCGGGCGCCTTTCGACAGAAGGAATATGCCTACCAGCACCTAGAACCACAATGTGATATTCCCGTCTAGCAATTGAAACATGGTATCAGTAACCCGTTACGCAATCTCCCTCAAATGAAGATGTCTCTCACAGGAGGACTCACTGGGGCCGCATTGAGACTGTACGGACTCTTTCGATAGACAGTCGCCCTTTAGACTTCGCCCAAGGTCGTCAGTGCATAGCTCTAACGTCAAAGGAACGCAATCGGAGTTGTGCCTTATCTACCTGCCAACGCTGTTGCTAATGTGCTTCGCAGAGCGGTGTAACCAAGTTCGACCGAGTTTCAGAGAACGTTCGGTAGGGTATGTCAAAGGTCTGCTGCTGGTATCTTCCTTTAAATCGTAGCCGGTCGGGTAATGGTCTGGTCTGATTCCAGGCTCCCACTGGAAGAGCAAGGGCGAAGAGACGCGATCCGTTACATCAGTTTCCGATGCCAATTGCCAACCAATTCCTCCGACCCAGGGTTATATCGAGCCCTTTAATTCAAATCACACCCAGAGGTTCGCCGGTTCGATAGTGAGGGACGGGTGGTGATTAGGGAACGATGCGCTCAAAAAAGAAAAAAAAAGAAAAAAAAAAGGTTAGGGGAAAAAAGTTGATGTCAACAGATTGGTTCCAACGTCCGGAGGCTAGGCCAGGCTAGTCTGGTCACTCCTGGTACGACCGAAGAACGGGTGTGGGGAGAGGGGAGGAGCGATAACGAGCGGTTCCGTTTCGGAGGGAGGCTTGAGATCGAACTGGTTACTGGACACGCTGCAGAATGGCCAACATGGCACACAATGCAATTGCACGTAAGGGAGGTCACTGACCCTTCCTCAGTTTTCTGGTTTGAACTCAGAATCCGAACGTGACGACTAGGCGGCGGTGAGAATCTGCGATGGCTGTGTGGACACCACGGGCGATCCAATATCCGCGATTAAACTCTAAACCTCAGGAAAAAAGGCGAACGGCCGTGGAATTCTCTTGGAATTCCGCGAGAACTCGATAGGCACCCCCTGTCTTAATGACATTATTCGGGTCAGCGTTGCAACGAAAGGTTAAACGGTGATGGAGTTGTGGTTACTGGTGTCTCCAAAGGACCTATCAAAAAGGCGATGGGGGTGTTGGCGTATGTAATGATGTATCGCTGAAACCACCCGTGAGTGCGGCTTTTTCCCCCATGCTCTCCTTGGGTCTGGGGAATTCTAATCCTGGAGGAGAAGAATAACCGGAGTCTCGGTCTTGAGTCCCAGTCATCGACGCTCAGGATAAATGTTCACAGTCTGATCAAAAGATGGACGTATTGCAGGCTTGACCTGAACGCTGCCACGAACGTCTCAGATCACGGGGAAGGGAACGAGATGGCGGCAAGTCAACCATGGGAATATTGATCATTACTGGTGAAAACTCATCCGTCATGTTCAAATTGACCTTGACAGGCAACCCCTCTGATACACCGGGTGGAGGGAACGTGAGGGAAATGACGGGAGCATAGAGATGAAGGCCTAAGCTGGCTACTTACAGTCGAAGAGAAGCCCAAAACTCGGCTGAAATAGGAAAGAAGTCACTCAGTGAAATAATCGATATAGATTAAGAGGACTATTTGTGGAGTTCGGGATGACAAAAGGCGTCTGCTGGGGTTTCTAATCGGGCACCAAAAGCAGGTTTCGTGGGAACGGCAGACTCAGTAGATTCAGTATGTACATCCCTCCAAGTATTGTCCGTAGGTCTCTTCGGAGGCACCATTCAGTTATATTCGTGCCAGAGGATTGAGAGTCATAGAACGAGAGCTCCTATTTGGCGCTTCAAAGTTGAAGATCTACATAATGGCACCAGGATTGCAGACAACCTCCATTCAATGGGGATGTCAAGAAAGTCCTTGAAACATGCACATATTTTCCAGAACTTACCTGTCAACTCATTTTCCGAGATCGGATCAGCAGTTTTTCTGTCATTGCGATTGTAGGGACCTATCGGCTGGGTTTAGAGCTGCAGACAATTGACGTAGATGATGTTGACAAACATGACAACTCAGTCTGCCAGGAACACGTATCTAGGTGTAGGCCAGACGTCATTACATGGTGAAGCGGTACTGTACATTGCAAAGCCATACTAATGCCTGAGCACTGGCATTCATGGAAGAATCATCCGGAAAGAGGGGCATGGTAGGGGAGCGCAAGACTATCCCTCTATCATATGACTGACACTTGACAGGTCGAATCATGGCTGGGACAGATCTCGATGATAACAGTACATGTGGATAGATCGGAGGTATTCTCGTTATCTGTAGAGATGCAACGTAGTATGCAGGTGCCTGGCATCACTCTGCGTCCGTCCATCAAACACAGACAACGCGCTCTGCGAATCATTGTGTCACACATAGGGCAGTCCGCACACATCCTCAGACGTTCCTTGAACTTTCCTGTGGAATACGTTTGCATTATGTGGTATGCTAGCCGCTATAGCCCCGAGACAATGATACATGGCCTATCTTATGGCTCGCCCAAGTCGGATGTCATGGTACCCTTCATGAGAAAGAACCACCAAAGCCAAGACCATTCGGAAAGTCGGGCAGCGTAACATACTCCGAATGTGCTATTTGGAGGTGAGTCTAGCTACGGATAGATCTATGGTCTATAACTGAACGGAAAGTCGGAGCGAGCTCTGGCGTAGTCGTCCAACGGATATCAAGCAACCAACAATCGCTGAATTTACAGTATCCTCGTACATGCACAGCAAAATAGACGGAAGACATGACCGCTATAAAGAACAAAAGGGCAACAACAGGTTCTGTTGAAGCTGTAGGTTATATCAAGCCGTTGGTCTGTTTGACTGCTCTGTGCCATTTCCTCCCGCTATATTCTCCGGGGCCGTACCGCTCAAGAGCCTCAAAAACGTGTCCAAACACCTGTTGGTCCACGTCTCTTGCCCATAGGAAATCCAAATGCTCATAACTTGGAATTGACTTGGCCACCGTCCCCCGTGGGAGCTCTCGCAACATCGCCCCGATATCGATCAGACTGTCACTTCCACCGTAAAGAAGAACAATCGGGGTCTTGATGTTCCTGGTGGGGTACTTGACCGGTTTGTAAAACCGTTGACTCGCCACAACGCTGAACGGAGCATGAACTTCATCATCGTACATTTGAAAGGTCCTATGCCGCATGATTTGAAACCAATGCACCACCGACTTTGTGCTAGTGAACGAATAGAGATGCAGGTAACTTGCCAGTTTCTGATACCAGCTAATGTTCTTGCCCTCCCAACCGAAAAGAATTGAAAGCGATGCGTCGATTATGCGAACAAAGATTGGCGGGTAGAGAATTGTCTGCCACATAGGGGTGGAACTGAGGATGCTGCGTCTACCAAAGAGGAGAAACAGAAAGTTGGGTGAAGCCTTCATCAACGAGTCCACGATACGATTCCGCAGTCCCGAAGGGGCCATTGCAGGTGCAAGGGCCACAAAGACGTCTATTTGCTGGTTGAGCAACGGATGAATCGATAGAGTCGCAAACGCCTGTGCTGTTCCTTGCGAGAACCCGATATACGACAAGGAAGCCTGTCCTGTCACATTGAGGATGTAGGTAATGCTGTCAGGGATATCGTAGAACGCAAACTCGTCCATCGAAAAGCCCCAGAACTTGGTGGACAGGGGAGAGTGATGGATAGACTTCTTGGAATATTTGTTGCCGCGATTGTTCCCAAGCCAGACATCATATCCTCTCTCCACAAGCTGAAAAGGGAGACATCGTTGAGCATCTGTCAAACACACCCAGACTTCGCTGCACATCAAAAGACCGTGGTGGAGATAGACAACCTTCTTCTCGAGGGTTCCCTCTCCTCGATTGACGAGGCGACCCTCCTCGCCTCTGCGATAGGCCAGGCGGTGTAGTCCTATCAGAAAGCCATCTTTCGTCTGCACGATGTGCTCCTCCGCCTCATAGCCGAAAATGGCACAAATGTCTGCAAAGTTGGAGGCCTGCGCAACCCGTGCAGCGATCTGCTCCTCCTTACCACGCTTGTATAGTCTCTCTCCCGGGATCAGAAGATTGAATAAGGCCTTGGAACGATCGTGACAGAACTCGATTATAGGCTCCGCTGCTCCAGGTTAGCCCCTTATCCCTGAACGAGCCTTGAATTGCAATTGGAGGCTGTGAAAACTGAGACCGGAGGCACCTCCTCAGTATACTTACGCAGCCAGAATGTAATAAAATGTATCACCCATTCCAGCAGCACTAGAATCAAGGACGCAAAAAGCGCAAGGTATTCGAACCAAAACAGTCTTCCGATCACTGGAACGGCCATGGTGATGTTATGTTGACCACTTGCTCTGGCAGATATGGTTCAATGAAGGGTGTTGGAAGTGACACTCGCATTCATCGGCACCGACTAACATGATGCGCTGAATCAAGGATTAAACCAGAACACTTCATGGTCAATGCTTCGTTCTTTAGAGATCAACCAAGACCGCGACGTCATGCGGCAGTGCGCCGTTCATTTTCATGTGAAGCTTACTTAATCCGGGGGACTAGCTAGAAGCCAAAGAGGGCTAGCGCGCATTTTCGCCGCCGAGGAGATTCCGACGATCTGATACCCGACAGTTTGATTGTGGTTCGTCAGGACGGTCCATCGAGACGCTTTCTGGACAACTGCACAATGCCGAGCTCATGCAGAGAATTAAGTGAGTGATTCGCAATTTACCTATACCCATTGGGGCATTTTGCACGGAGCACGTTCCACATCCCTTCCGCGACCCTCACCTACAAAATATCATATCTGGATGCTAATGAGCCTGGCGACTTTTCTCAGGAGACGCACTGGCGCAATGCCTGCAAGAATCAGATTGCATCATGGTCCAGCGGCACACCCCGCGTGAATGCTTGAGCACTCCCCTCGTCGATGAACTGCCTATGAAATGCCAACAGTTGCGGAAAGGATTCAGCGAGTGCAAGTGAGTGGAACGGACATGCGTGCTTTAATTGCAGTGGATAGCGCTGACAATGGGCACAATCTAGGCGTGGGTTGATCGACATGCGAAAGCGATTCCGTGGAAATCAGCCTATCTCGGTTTCCAGGGAGCTCGAAGGAGGCAAATCCCAATCCCACCAGCAACTATACGCCGGCAAGCCCGCCTTCGAAACCGTTAAGGAGATTAGCGGGAATGAAGTTCAGATGGACCCCGAGAAGACTAGGGGACTATAAGTTTTCAAGCTCGCGGCTCACTAGTCTGGCCAGATGCCTAGATCCGCTGCCCTGAGTTATAGCACGGCTTTTGGTTTCATCTCCTGGCATGGTTTGGAGTTCCCAGTTGGCGGAATGTTTTGCGATTCCGGATTTTCGTGTAACACTACTGGCTTATGGCATATGACTGTACATACTTTTGAATTATGGGCTTCCGGCGTAAGTACACGCTTCATTTCGAACTATCATTCGTTGAGATTTTACAGAGGATTATTGCGTCTTCTTTGTGTTCAGTGCAGCGGCAGAAGGCGCTGAGTAAAGCCATGCAACAACGAACACCAAGAAGCCAGCGATGACGGACCACAGACCCGCAATCCAGACCCATCCACCGCTGATCTTCCAGCTTCGGGGGTACTCGTTATGAGCGAAATGACGAACGGTCACCTCAAGTTTTTCTTCGATGTTGGTGAGGAACGGGCGCTTGTAGTTCACTCGGAAGGAGAAGATTCCATGCTGATCGGGAGTGGTGAATCGTGTGCTGTAAACTGTACTGTTATCCGTTCGACGGACGGGTTCCAAGTTCAGGCGATGGAAGGGAGACAGCATGGTAAACTCAAGCTGGACGGCATCGCCAGTTGGAACCTCGAAGGGCACGTAACGATCATAGTTGTACTCGGAAAGTTCAATGGTAAAGACCTGTTGAGAAGTGTGAGCATGCAAATAGGCAATGGAACCTCAAATGGCTGTCTCTTACAGTTTCATTCTTCACTCGATAGATCTTAGGGTTCAGCTTCTCGGGGGTGATTTCACCATCTTCAGCCAGATGATGCTCGATCTTTCCGACCTTGAGCACTCCGGTTTCCTTGAATGTCCACGCGGTAAGCTGCTTGGCGAACTCCTGGTTGACCGTCTTCGTCTGCTTCCCATCGCCGGGAGCCTTGACAGTCGCAGAAAACCACTGATCCTGCAGACTCTCCACGGAGCCCAGTAGAGTGAACCGAGCGGAGTTTCTAGCCTGCATTGCCGAGATCAGAGCCAACTGCGAACCTGTAGCTGCAACATCCTCAACTGACGACGCGTCCTCCTTGGGGTTGTAACTGTACGCAGTGGCGGGCGCTCGCAGAATAGGCGCAATGAGAGGGTTCGCGTCGCCCAGGGTGTGGGGGACGGCTCTGGGAAATGCTACAACGCCCTCACCATCAAAGAAAGCCTTGGTGTCAGACCTCAACTTGCCTGGTCGGTGGAGTAGCAGGACATCATGCTTATCTGAAGCAGAAAGTGTATCGTAGTTGAAGTGATCGACGGTGACAGAGGAACGATCGACAGGGAGATGGAGATCGAGCTCCAATAGCAACGAGCTGATAGCGTTGGCGGTTGTGGACTTGCCCGACAAGGCGAGGAGGACGTTGCCGTCCTTGTTCATGAATTCAATGATATTCTTGGGGGTAAGGGAGGGTCCATAGCCTGGTCAAGAGGTCAATTGAGATGTACAAAGCAGAGTATATGGACATGTCTAAGGGTAACGCTAACCCTTTGACTTGGGAGGCAGGAGAAGCATATGGTCGTAGACTCGGTCTCCGAGCTCGAACAGGTTGAGCTTGTCATTCTTGGGGGATTCGAAGTTGAGGTTATATCCTCGAGCTGCCAATCAATGATTAGCATGTTAACGCAGAAGTTCAGTAAGTTAGAGCACCTTCTAGGTCAGCCCATAATTTCGAGTATAATTCCTTTTCTGTGGCATCTTCCAAAACAACCAGCAGACGACTGCCCGAGCTACTTAATGCATGTACAACTGCCAAGAAGCAGAATGCCAGAAGAGTGAGGCACCACCGCATGGTATATCGAATCCCGCACAGCGGAGCGGGCAATTGGCTGAAAGGGAAGTCACTGCAGTCCAGAGAAAGAGAAGGAAAAGAAGAGGGAAATGAATTGGTAGAGGAGAGTGTCCTCTGAAGGAGCTTCGTCAGTTCCGTTTAGTTGGAGAGAACGGGCAACGTGTTTGGACCGAGAGTGCCAAGACCTCTTCGCCGCTTTGAACTGCGCAATCGTCGGCCGTCGTCACTCACAACCTCAATTCGACGATATACCCCCTCTCCGTCGCGATACCCGCCCCTCTGGCGCGATTTAACCCAGTCTCACAATTATCGGAATTCTCGGAAGACAGAATACGTGATTTGAGCCGAGCTTTGATCAATTGATCATTTGATCCAATCCATCCGTCGCGCTCACGACCTTCAACCGAATCCCGCAAAAATCCTTTTGAATCGTCGACCTTTCGTCTCACAGCCATGACTACTCCCCAATTCTGGTCGACTCCCCTCCGATACCTTCGCTGGGCCTCGCATGAGAAGCCAGCGATTTTCTACTCCTTGGTCGTCGGAGCGACAGGTCCTCTCATGCTGGTCACCCTTCCCCCCATCAGACGGTTCTTCGGTGATGTTGACCCGGAACCCATTCCATTGACCTATCCCCGTAAGGGCTCCGATCCTTTTTAACTTTTTTTTTCTTTCTCATGCTCTTCCTGCTCTCTGATCTGCGTCTTTGTGCCGCTCGCATGCTAACATATTCATTCCCTAATCCCAGTTCCCCAGGGACCCCGGAACATCCCGCAAGGCTACGATGACGAATAGATATCTCACGGGGAGGACGATCGAAATTGATTTGACTTGCTGAGATGCTCTTCATTGGGAAACTCGAGTCTCAATAGTATCGGACCTGCACTTTGTCGGGCACTGATGACAGACAATCCATTACCGAGGCTGCGTCAACTGGAAGTGCTTGCGGGGTTATCGTCTTTTATATTGAGCAACCAGCGCAGAGCCCTGCAGGCCATTTACCTACCACCAGATATCTTCATACTCGTGAACCCCCTTGTTGAGCTTGACAGTGCGAGTGCAGCGGTGTATTGTACATGAAAATGATTTTAGAGCGCAGACACATCCATTTTCGTTTGAACTTACTTCTTTACTTCTCTACATCTCCGCATCTCCTTGGAATTCCGGCTTCATATTACAGGCTTAATCTCGTTCCTCTTAGATCAAAGCTTTTGCGCAGATGCTGTTGTAGGCGGATGCCGAACAGCAGGTCCGTGCTTCGCGAAACTTCTTGATATGTCTGGCTCAAGGAATGACGGCGACGGGTCGTTAGAAAAAAGAAGACGCAACTAAGATACTTGAGCTCATAAAATTTACCTTTCAGCAATCTTATTAGAAGTCAGGCCTCGTCAAACGTGCGGCTAAGACGACTCATAATCAAACCCGCGTTGGCCGGACGTTCAACACATGGAGTGATTGAATCATTAATGAAAACGTAGCTCCGAACACCTCGTACCCTTTCATGTTTTACGCCCGATTTGATCAACCTTTGGAGAGGGAATAAAGAGAGAGCCGACGACAATGCTTTGAATCGACCTTCAATAGCCTGAGGCAGGAATAGCAATCAATTGCTTGGTGTCAACAATAGATATCCATTGAATAACCACAGAATGGAATAACGCCATGTATGCTCATATCTACATATAGATCGTGGACAACATCACCAAAACATCCAAGCTCCTAACTGATGCTTTTTTTGGATCAGCCAGATGCTCCCATCAGAATCAGGACTGTGATAAAAGGCCGTTACACTCCTCGATTAAAACGAAAAGAAACCGGAAAGAGCATGAGAAACAGACAACCAGGACACCACCGAGCAAGCAAATTGGGGATGTTCCTCAGGACAGGAGTAAAGTATATTGAACAAAGTGCTCGATAAACCGCCGATACAATGCAAAGCCAAAAAGCCACCTTTAGGAACTCGTTGCACAGATCTCTCTTCCAGCCATCCGCACCATTGGTATATGGCAGGCCCGGCATCAAGAGTTGGATGCCAGTAGCCAGGCAAGGAAAGTATCGGCGAGTAGCGTCGCCTGAGGTGCCAAGTGAAATGTAACGGAAATTCCAAGGCTTATCCATGGCGATGTGTCCCGGACTCTCAGATAATGGCTCCACAAACTTGCAAGTCGGATACGGAGGCTTTTCTCAAAACATCTCCTTCGGCTTGGAATTCCTCAATGGCAAAATAAACAAGACAGAGACCCCGTAGAACAGCCAGGATTAATATGCGCAGTACTCCAGGATGATTCTGTAGATTCATTATTTTCCAGGGTTGATTTACCCAGGATAGCCAAGGGTTTGTGACGACTCCTTGGAGGTATCATGATATAAGCAGCGAAGAAAAGGCATCAACTTTTTGTCTCTCTACCGGGTTCGACGCGGGGCCTGGCTCTCTCTTGTTGCCTGTGGCCTGTTGCGGTCAAACTCCGGGGTATATCTGGGATCCATTCCTATCCGGGGATCGGGAGCTGTTGTGGCAGGATAAGTCATTCCAGAGGTGACCGGGGAATAGTCCGACTCGGTTTCATAGCCAGGTCCTGTGTAGCGTGGAGCATTACTTCTCCCGTTCTCATAGGGATAGCCAGTGTTGCTCGTGTAGGTGTATGATGCGTGCATGTCGGCAGACACTGCGGGCTGGCCTGGAGCAGAGTAAGGGACTTGCGGAGGGTAGGGATTCTGTCCTGTCGCAAAAGGCGAATGACTTGAAGGATATGATGATGGAGCTGTGTATGGGGGGCTCTGGGTTGCACCGTACGGGGCCTGAGTGTATGGATCCACATAGGGTTGACTAGGTGGTTGAGAGTACGTAGGTGGTGGTGACGGCCCTCCTTGCTGGCGCACTTCATGAATAGAAGAAGATGCGTAAGGCGCTGGGACCACGTTAGGGGCTTGACGAACGTTGTAGTCGTGAATGTAACTACCTCTTGGATAGCCTTGGTCAGCCCGACGCATGACGTCTGCTTCCCAGCGAGCGGAGTCCGCTTTGAGATCAGCAATCATTTCCTGAGCGTAACAGTCAGCCTGAATTCTTCCATTTCTTTCTTTCTCTGGGCTTTCCATAGATTCGCACTGAGAACGGGGGTTTGTTTTGGACATACAGAAGTCAGATTTCGATAAGCACGGATGAAGTAGCCCTGACGACCCTGTTCGCAATGAGTCAGTAGGAGAGCAAATGGTAAGGTAGGTTTTGACAGATCTGAACTGCTTGGTTGATTTTAAGATAGGAGAGACTGGGAAACAGACATTATGGTTTCCGGGTCTTACGAGTGCATCATTTCCAAGGTAACGGCAAATGTCTGCTTGGATGACTTCCCGGCTAATTCCATCACCAGGGATAAAGTACTCGTTCTGACGCTCCGGGCGTCCTTCATATCCATGGCGTCCAGTCATTTTGTTCCAGGGAGAAGGTATCCGGTATTAAGTGATTAAATGCAATGGATCCAAGTGGCCACAACGAAGTCCAGGGTGGTACAACAAGTAGCCGAGGTATCCAGGAAGTGGGAAGTTGATAAGATGCTCTCTTGGGTTGAGAGCAAAAGAAACAGCACAAGTACGGTTCTATTAGGCCGCGTCCAGGGAACTCCAAGGCTGATGGTTCAAGGCTTATCCGATATTTCCTTTCCGTCTCGCAAAAAGCACACACTTAAAATGCAAGCTTCAAAGACAGGAACCGCTGGTTGGGTGATTATTACCAGGAGAAAGAAGAAATCCAGGTAGTTCGTATTTGTCCACGGACGGCTGTCAAGGGCTGTCTTCCAAGATCCTGAGGTGATTTCCTTTCTTTTCTTTTTGTCTCTCTAGTGATATAGATTCAAGGACCGCGACCGAGTCATGCAAGGGAAAGTCGAAATCCAGGCCGGGATGGATGACCGAGGATCGAGGAGAGAGGGGATCAGGGGGTGAAGCTTTGCGTGGGGTGTCTCTCTCCGGTTTGGTGATAGTGAGTTTGATACCTCCAACACTCCAAGAGTTGTAAGGGAATTCTTCGGGCTGGCGGGGGGAAAACTTGCCAGATTGCACACTAGAAGGAACAGAAGGGAAGAAAGAAGAAGGGGAGAAAATTATCTACACGAGAGAGAAGAGAAATGGACGGGGAGATAAGAGAGGCTAAAGACGCCAGCTCAGCGCACGGAGGGAGAGAGGGGGTGTGGGCATTTGGCAAAACAAGGGCTGGTGGGTTGTGTTTGTGCTCATTCGATTCGACCAAGGGCGCGGTTGGCTCATTTGGGCTGTTGGGCCGGCGTATTGGGCTGCCTGGCCTTGTCTGGTGCCACGACGACTCCACCTTGTCATTGGTGAGAATTCCGAAAATAAATAATGATCGAGGCGAAAAGAAAAAATAATGATTACGAACTGACCTACCTACGGAGTAAGCAGATACTAACTCCTGTACTCCGTACGAGACTACCTTACCTCAGTTTCTAGGTACCAACCTACCTACCTACCGAGAGAGGCCTCACATCCGATGACTGCGTTAAAAGACTCCCCAAAACATGCATGGTGACAAATACGGCCTGCAGATGATTTTCCAGGTCTAGGTAGTCGCGCTTCCTGAAAAATCATTGTTAGAATGCCGTCCGTCTGGCCAGTAGTGCGTAGGTAAGGCAGGAGGCAAACTATGAGACTCTTCGGGTCGTCTTATTGACGGCGAAACGGTCTATTGGCCATCCTTCAATAGATCAGAATATGAAAAACCTAACTCATGGAAGTGATGCAGATCGAAGCTGTCAAGTTGCACTGAATATGCCTGCTGTCATACTATCTGGCCTTCCAGCCAGTAGATAGACGTAGAGATGGGAAAGTTGAGACTCAAAAAGGCGACACTGAGTTGGAGGTACGGAGCAGATAGAAACATTCAGAGAACGTATCAACAGTGAGTAGGGACTTCGCAGCCCGGTTATGGTACTTAATGCTTTCTCCGTCCATTTAGTGACGATAAGGTAGATCTGCCCATATGACTC